AAATCATCCCCTTTTCTTTTGAACAAAGAGAACAAATAACATTCTGGAAAACTCCAGCCAAAGGACCAATCAGCTGACAAGAAGGCTGAAACCTCAACAGGAAATACCCCTACTTGATTCAGGGTTTAAATTCCAGAGTGCGAGATCAATCGATCTCTTCCCCTTTGGTTTTAACATCTGTAAGGAGAGGCCCGTTTCACATGAAATGCTAAAAGAAAGCTAGCTGTAAGTAGCTTTCGCTTTCCTGCGTCAAAAGTCATGTATCGCAGTGTACCAGCGTGCATAGCGCCCACTGAACAGGGTGAGAGGGAGAAATCCCGAGGCTGAGGCTGACTTAAAACTCTTCCTTCGTGTCCCCTCCGCTTCTTTCCTGGACTGGAAGACATCTCAAAGTAAAACCCTTCACTTTTATTTGATGCATTAATGAGGTGCTGCGCTCGGGCGACAGACATGGCAGATTGTTGGGATCTGGAGGTCTGTCCACGTTTCTCCAGCAGAGGGCGCCCTAGGTCTCCTGGAGCTGAAGCTGACTACCACACCTGCGGCTGATTTGCTCATCAGGAGGAGCAGCATATAAGCAGCGGCAGAACTACTCTTCAGTGCCAGAGTGTTAAGCGTTAAGCTTAGCAAACCTGAGCCAGCCAGCCTGCTTGATTCTCTGACTCCCAGAAAACCTGACTTGAATCTAACCAGTTTTCTGTCCTCTCTGCTTCTTAGGAAGAATCTGACTGAGACCCTGGAGATCTGGAAGAGCTACTCAACTGAAACCTGCCTGCCTGCTCTCAGTAACAAACCTGAAGATCAAACTGTCTGGATCTGTCTGCCATCCTTCAAAGGAGCTTGAAGAAACTCTGAACACTCACAAGCCTGAAGCTAAGTTCTGTCGTTGCCTAGCCCTCTGCCAACAATCAGTCTCTGGACCCTCCTGGTTCCCTCCCTCTGCCGCTCAGCCTGAATCTCTGAACAGGTACAGATCTGCACATCCTCTCAGCTTCAAGATCATTAGCTTCCTGGCTAACCTAACTGTCCCTCTCTGCAGAGAGTCCTTGTGTGACCAGTCCCGGATCTGATTCCAGCACCTGTCAACTAACATTGTGTTTATCGTTTGATTCCAGTATCTGTCAAACAACTGTGTGCATATCCACAATAAATTGTTGAACTTTTACTCTGACTCCTGGGTGTTCTGCATGTGGGTTAGAAACCTGAATCCCATCATGACACAGATAGAAGTTTCAATTAATGCTGATGTTTAATCTGTGCTGGTTATAAGAGCTCTGGTTTAATGGTTGAAATAAGTGTGCTGTGAAAAGCTGCAAGTGATATTTCTTCCTTCCTTTCTTTCTATCCTGTTTTCCTTCTCTTTCTGCTTTGCGGTCAGTTTATAGAGAATTTGCACACATTTAACTGCGCCTGGTCACGTGGTTGAGGACCCATTGTTACAAGCTGCCCCCCCTTTCATCCTATGAAGAGGGAGGTCTCACACACACATATCACCCCCCACACACACACACACAGCCCTGTTTATGCCACTTTGCTGAACTAAATTCTTTTGCTGTTGTTAATGCATTGAATGTGTTTTATGTTGTTTTAATTGCACTGTTATCATCATACCTGTTGCTATTCCAAACGGTCATTATTGAATGGATTAACATCTGGCCTTTCTTGGACAATCTCAGAAGCCAGTTAAACTGAGTCTTAGGATTTTATTATTTTTCTTTCAAAACTAGTTACTTAGTCTACCTGTTTATTTTCTAATAGCGTGTAGTGATGGCATAGATGTTAGATTTCTGTAATCCTGAATCATTAGAATAAAGACGTCGTTGTTTAACTTGCAATCGTTTTTGATTCATATACGAAGGGTTTATCACTCAGGTCAGATCCACCCTCTTATGGTACTAGTTTGAATAAACAGACAAATAGTTCTTTGATAATTTATAGCTCTGCTGATAACCAAGCCTGGGTCACTAAATTTGTGGCGATACCTGGATTTTAACAGCCGGTCCAGGAACTATCCAGAGGTGAAAGGCATAAACCCTGGTAAGCAAGCAAATTAGAGCTACAATTATTCAACTAAGAACACTAAATTGATTTCACCTCCGACTTTGAATAAGTTAAATAATTAAATACAACTCTGGTTCTAGTTAATTATTTATTCATTATCTGCAGGATATAATTTTGTATAACAATGCTAAGCTGACTTTTCATGCTTTCTCCAAAAAGGAATCAAAGATTTTCCAATCACTAAGCTCATTTTAACTTAGCTGATTGCTCCTTCCTGTGTTTCCAAAAAGGCAACGGCAAAAGTAAATAACCCAGTCCTTCTTTTCACTGTAGACAAGCCATGATCTGCTTATCTGTTGTCATCATAAAATAATAATTTTCGTTGCAATCACTGAGTCTGTGAGCGGCCATTTTTGCCCAAATATAGTAACCCNTGATATATATACAAAAATTTATATTAGGAACTATATTTATCAAACATTATTCTGGTCAAGTAAAAATTGATTCTGGGCAAATGAAATGTGAAAGTCACTTGCCCAAATGGCAAGTGGTAAAAATCCTTAACATCAACCCCTGCTTAGGATCAAGTTTTTAACACTTTTTGGTCAAAAAACAGACATAGAAAAACAATAATACTCAAAAAGGTAAAGTGCTTATTAATAATATAATTTAAGCAAAATAATTAACTCCTCTCAGATGAATTATTGGAGGAATCATTACAGCTCTGATTGCATGATCGGTACTAATTGCTTTATACTGTCATAGAAGCAGATTCAGCACATGGTCTTAATTTCTGATACAGGTTATTATGTGGAGTGAAGCTTCACTGATTCCTAATAATCTTTGTTTACCGTTTTTCCAGGAGCTGGAGAAGAGCGTTGATGCAGGATTTCCCAAACCCCGGTCCAGGAACGCAGCGGTGGACAGAAGACTGAGACGGACACAAGACCGATCGAGAACTCAGCCGGTGACCACAGAGGAAGTGGTCATAGCCGCTACGTGAGTCCTCATGTTTTCCTCCGTTTAATACTTCAACTTATCTCAACAGGAAGAAGCCATTAAACTTAAAATCAAAGTTATTCAACATGAGTCATTCAGGTTTTGATTATTACGGAAAAGCAACAAAGTGCTCTAAACGTGTACGGCTTAGCATCATGCTAGTAAGTCCTTATCGTAGTACGTTACTGAAGTTAACATATGTGAAATACTTTGTAATTGAACCTTATTATAATCTGATGTGAGATATATAGAAGTATGCAACTTTCCTTTGAAAGTCTTCAACAACCCAAACAGAAAAACAAATATTTGCTGCTTCTTGTTTACAAAATAACTGAAGCTCAAGCAGATCAGACAGAGAGCATCAGTCAGCATCACCTTTTGGAGTCTAGCCTCAGATTTTCAGAAAGATTAAGGTCTGTACTTTGACTAGACAGTTTTGAACCAGGAAAAAATATTATCCAAAAGTTTTGACATATTTGAGGAAATTGACAGGATGCCAGACTGAGGGGCCTTTTTTTAATTAAATGAAAGCTAAAAATGTATCCATGCTGTAAAATAAAAAAAAATAAAGTCTGTAAATAAATTTGTTTATATAAAAGAAAATAATATATAATTTTTTTTCTTTTTGAAAAAGATAATTTGAAGAAAAAAAATAATAA